CCCGGCCCCCCCCCCGGGGGGACCACGGTGCCCCTGCCCCACCGGGCCACGTGGCAGCACTCCTACTCTCCCACAGCACTGCGGCCAGGCAGGCCCCGCCGCACCCCATCGCATTGCCCCTGCACCTCGGCCCAAGGATGAGGACCCCCAGGACCATCGGGTACTTCCATGCCTGGGACTACGTGGTCTTTGCAGCCATGCTGCTCATTTCGGCAATCATCGGCATCTACTATGCCTTTGCGGGAGGTGGGCAGAAGACCTCCAGCGACTTCCTCATGGGGGGCCGCCGGATGACTGCCCTGCCTGTGGCACTCTCTCTCACTGCCAGCTTCATGTCAGCCGTCACTGTACTGGGCACCCCTTCCGAGGTGTACCGCTTTGGTGCCATCTTCAGCATCTTCTCCATCGCCTACACCCTGGTGGTGATCCTCAGTGCTGAGATCTTCCTGCCTGTCTTCTACAGACTGGGCATCACCAGCACCTATGAGGTAAGGCGGCAGGGGTAGAAGGAGTCTTTCTGAAACCCTCAGGTGCTGGAAGCTCTCTCATTAACACCTACTATGGTTCTCTCCCCAAGATCTTCCCCAAAAACCTGCTGCAAACTGCTGTCCCCTTCTCCACAGTGACCCTAGAGCAGGCTGCAGCCAATTTGGTCTGCAGGTCTGCCCACATTGCTCTGCCAAGAGGATGTATTCAGTCCTGCTGCTTTTACTCAGGAACTGAGCACTCTACCAGTTATGTTTCCTCACTCTGGATACTTTGGTAGGTGGATTAATCCTCCTGCAGTTTGGACAGTGGTGTGTAGTTAGTGATATGTAATTAAAATACCAAGAGCAGAATGTAAAAGTATTGAGCACAGGAGCTGTAGTTCTCTAGCCCTGGTTCCTCCAGTTAGGTTTCTAAGCTCAGATGCAGCCACCAAGGTCCTACTCCAGGACAGTAGAAGTTTGCAATATTTCGAGATTTTGAGAAGACATCCTTGCTCCCTGAGACTGTTCACACTAGCAAATGCCCCTTCCCTAATGCCGTCCTTGGTGAGATAAGCAAGAAGCCTGTGTGTGCAAGGATTGAGTCGTGTCTATAATCATTTTGTGGGTAGGAGACATTTGGCAGAGCTTTCTCCTGGCCCAGTGGGTCCTTGCAGCCTATATACCCTCCTGCAGATTGGAAGGTACCGAATTGGTCATGTCACAGAGGTGTTTGGGAAAGGGGCATCAGTGTAGGTGTGTGTCCTCAGCTAGCTACTTTGCTCTTCTGCATTTAATTATACTAAGCAGGGGTGTTACAGCTCTGGAAGCTGTAAACAAGGTTTCTGTTGGAAGATCTAGATAAGAACTCTCCAATAGAAACCTCTTGTGGCTTACACTGTGTTATAAATTACTAATCTTACTAATAAAATTTATTAATCTTAAGGTAAAATACCTAACTTGAGCTCCTTTCATTAAAAATAAACTCATTGATAATCTGGGGAATTCATCAGCATAATTCCATCTGTGAATGATATTGTCTATCTGTGAATAGAGTTAAGATCTCAGACAACTATCTGTCTGTCCAGAGGTTAAACATTGCTGTAATGTGCTCACAGTTCACATTTTTGATATGCCATCCATGCGTGAGCACTTTGAGCTATGTGCTTCTGTTTATGTCTGCATTGACTGAACAGTTTGGCTGGTTAAGGAGATCCCTTTCATGCAACCACACATTGCAGAGGATAGATAGGATAGACAGTGGGGAAAATGTGCCCTATAGAGTGACAAACTCATTGGCAGGTTGTGATGTACCAGGCTGGACAGAAAAATGAGGGTTCATGTTTGTGCCAAATGTTAGATTTCTACCGGCTGGTGGAAGATGGCAAGTTGCTTTTGTGAGGGCAGGTGTAGTTACTACTGGAAGAAGCTGCTGCAGAGCTTCTCTCCTCTCCCGCAGCAACTCAAGTGAATGTGTGTATTGCCAGAGTTTCCAAACGAAGGCTCAGAGATAGGTGCAGTGTTTTCATTTTCTCAGTGGTTTCACAAGGCAAACAGGTTCTTTTGTTCACTGATCCTTCTTTGAGACCGTTGCCAAGTGCATAACAGCTCTGGTCTTTGCCAAGTCACCGTGCGCAGCTCCTCGCCTGCTGAGGGCCTCAAGGAAGCTCCCTCTCAGCAGTTTCATTCTGGAGATTCCATCCTTTACTGGCTGGTTTATGTCTACTTCATTTGCTCATGATCCATTATCCAGCAAAGAAATGAATCAAGTTGACTGAGAGTGTTGGCCATTTGTGGAAATGTAAAAATAGCAGTATGCTCTTTCTGTGCTGCTCATCACCTAACTCTAGTCCTATCAATAATGCCAGCTCTGGGGATAAACATTGTTTTTCTTTCTTCTCTTTCACAGTATTTAGAGCTTCGATTTAATAAATACCTGCGTCTCTGTGGAACAATCCTCTTCACTATACAAACGGCAAGTAAACCTCAGAGCAATTCTGTGGCCCTTGGTAGCCATCAGGGCTCTTCAGTTTCATGTAACTGATTGCAGTCTCTAAACGGTGGGTGAGGTTATGACAGTCTGTGTGTGGCTGGAAGTAAGAGAAAGAAAACTCTTTGGGCTCCAAAGCAAGGAGGGGGAGAGTGGATGCCAGCCTACCTGCTGCTTTGTTCTCTCCATGCTTTGTTGAGCAGCTGGGGCAGTCACTTGGCATCAGTGCTAAGCCAAGGGATGAGTGACCCTTCACTGTGGGGTAATGGTGCGGAGAGCACTTGCTTGCCCACCCACACAGGAAACCCACAGCATGCCCTACTTACCTGTAGCAATGGGTTTCGTCCCATGGTCCATGTATTCTGGGACTCCAGCTAGTTCCCGAAGTTCTGTGGAAGGTGCCAGCACGCTGTTGGTTGCTCTGCAAGGGTTTGTACCCCCACTGGGAAAAACCTGGGTGTCTGAAAGCTGAGGAGCGGCAAACCACTGCCTCAGGGAACGTCAGGCTGCAGCAGCTGCTGCATTACTGTCCGTGGGGTTGGCAGCACCTAGCCCATTCAGGAGTCACTATCAGACCACAGGATTCACATGTACAGAGCACTCCTGGTGCTTTGGAGCATTAGAAACACAAATGTGGGCTTTTGATTTTTTTCACAATTATGATATGGGCTTTTTAGGGAATTCAAAGCAAGACTATACTTAGGTGGCTTTTTACAGGTGTATGAGCCCATAAGGAAGGTAGAGTGCTAGCATGTTTGACTCCTGACAGTGTTCCACCACCAAATAGGAAGCCATCACAGTTCTGAAAGTGGAAGATGGAACAAGCAAGCATCTTTGCTTGCAAGGTTCAGAAAATAATTCTATTTAAGTTGAATACATGCCCAAGGAAATTAACTAAACATCTGTAGGTGTCTTTCTGTAGTTTCAAGAAACTGCTACAGTTTTAACTGTTTTGTAAATATTGGCAATTTTTTTTTAAGTGTACATGATTTTACAATGTGAAAAAAACATGGAAAAGTGGAAAGATTACATAGTCATTCCTGTTTTAATTGACACAAAAATGTGATCATGCTTGTGACAAAACATTTAAATTTCTGATGCTTCAGAGCTCCTAGCACTCACTGACTCTCTGGACAGGCTGGAGTCAGCGAACCACCCTGCCAGTAACTGCTCAGATAGCAGGTCAAGCCTGGCTTGGACGTGGCAGATGCTAGTAGTTTTTAGCTGCAGAGTAATGCAGCCCAAAGAGAGGGGACATTAATCAGGTTCCAGTCAGGGCTGGCATGTTTCCCTGGAGGTCCTGCCATCCGCTCTGGTCAGGTTGTGCTGGCTGTGCAGCAAAGGGCTATGGCATTTTGGTAACACAGGGTGCAGCATTTCCCTCCCACAGCTGAATTACTGCCCTTGCTACCAGCTGGCTCGTGCCCATGTAACTGCTGGCCGTATGGCACTACTCCAGCACAGGAACTGTTTTGGACTTGCTCGAAAGCCACAGGGAGCAATTGTGCAGTTAGCCATCCGCACTGAGATTGCCACATGTGCTCTTGGCTGAGCGGGCGCCTGCTGAGCGCTGGGTGACTTCTGAAATCTGCTGCTTTTCCATGCACCAGCCCCACTTCTACCCCTACAGGAGTGTAAACCAGGAGCCAGAGGCATTGGGGCTTGGAAATGTGATGCAAGTCAGCTCAGGACCTGACTGTATCTCAGATCTCCTGCATTGGGTCCTCTGACCTTCCCTGAAACCACCTGCTTGTTGCAGGCTGCCTTCCCCTCGGTCATGTCGCAGCAGAACTTGTCACAGAAGCACAAGGCGGTAGTAACAGTGATAAAATACACCTAAAGAAATTAAAGAGAATGTCAATGCATGAGTCCCGTCGTGTTCTTCCAAGGAGGTGCAGTATCTCCTTCCTTTGTCTGTGTCATTGCCTGTAATGGACAAAAATACAGATCTGCTTGGCTTCATTTTACGGCACAATAATCCCCAACGATACTATCCATAATGACTACCTAATGCTGTATTTCTTGTTCCTGTGTGCATTGTAGCTGCATACTGAGAGGCATATTGATCCAAAGACTGAGAAAAATATTTATATAATAGATTCCTGTGTGCAAAATATATGCAAATCTCATCAGCGTTCTCTTTCTTTTATTTCTGCCACATGACTGCAGATTTTAAGCAATAAAACAAGTTAATTACAAAAAAATCAGGAAAAGCTGAAGAGGAGTTTGGTGTTTAAGAGCTGCTGTAGTTTCATTTTAAGAACACTAGACTGTGAGAAGGCAATGCTTTTTAGTCTGGGACATTTTTCTTCTAACAACTGAAATTATTTCTCAACTCTAAAGAGTACTTGGGTATTTAGAAAATATAGATTGCATAAAGGCTTAATGAGAAACCATCTCAGAAAGCAATCACCTTTACATTTCTTTTGATTCTGTATCTTTATTTTCTCCCTCTAGACTTTATACACTGGTATTGTCATTTACGCTCCAGCTTTAGCATTAAATCAAGGTAAGATGATCATATACAACTCTTATTTTACTGTTTTTTTTTTTTTTTTTTTTTTTTTTTTTTTTTCTTTTTTTTGTGGGATCGTTTTTTTTTTTTTTTTTTTTTATCCACACCTAAAAATAAATAGCTCAAGGATCAACTGTGAAGTCTTCCAAGGTTTCTGTAATCCAAATGGGAGTGCTGATAGAAAGCACTCCCTGTTGTAATGCCAGTCCTGCAGTCCTAACTATAAGGGATTATAGAGGAGCTTTGAGGAAAACAAATTGCTCTCCTTTACCTGACTGTTTAGGGGTATCTTTAGTAGTGATTACACTGAGGTTTTTATACTTGCACAGTGAATACACCTCAAAACAAGCTGTGACTTAGCTGGCTCCCAGCCAGAAGCAACATTTATCCTTAGGATGGTTGCAATATTTTTCATTAGGCTGAGCTAATCAGCAAGCCAGGTGGTGCATGGCAGGGCTGCACCAAGCTCGGGCAGCAAGAGGTCACACGCTGAGCGTGGCACAGCCTTGTCTGCATAGACATGCCCACTGTGTTGCCCTGAGAGAAAGCTGCAGGTAAGAGGCGTTTGGTCTGACACACTGTCTTGCAGACCTCTGCTTAAACCACCTTCGCTCCCTGGAGTGCCTTGTGCTCCTTAGCTGCTTTGATCCCTGGCAAGGGACTCTGCGGGACTACCCAGGTGCCTCAAAGGAAGGACATGTATTTTAAAACCTTCCTGAGCTGGGAGTATTCAGACATGTTGCTTGTCAACATTCAGTTCAAAGACAAACAGCTTCTTAGGTCTGGAAATATATCTAATTGTTTGGGACTGTAACAACCTAAGAACTTTTTTTTTTTTTTTTCTTCCTTCCCAGGACTTTTTCCATGTTTTGACTTGGTCAGGATGAATCTTCTGGTTTAGACACACAAATCTTATCATTGCAATTTTTTATTACTATCTACTTTTGCATGTAACTTATTTCCATTTCTTTTTTCATCAACTAGATTCAGGCCAAAAATAGACTTCCATTTTTTTTTTTTCCCAGGAAACCTCATTCACACTGATACCCTTTCCCTATTTTCCAGTCACAGGCTTGGACCTCTGGGGTGCAGTGCTGGCAACTGGTGTAATCTGCACTTTCTACTGCACATTGGTATGTAGCTTTAGCTGAGAAAAAATATCTTTTCTCTGTGCCATTCAAGTCAAACATAGGATTTATTGAAAAGTAACCTTGTAACTTATTCCATGCGGTACACTGCATAGTATAGCTGTCACCACAGGGATATTCCCCTGGACTATGAAAATTTGGGTAGAGTCGACTCAAATCTTTTCCATTTTGGTATGTTCAAAATTTTGTTGTTTCTGAAGGACCAACAAAAAGCAGATTTTGCTTCCTACCCCTCTTCACATTTTTTCTTCGGAACTAGTAGAGCTTAGTTGTGTAATTTGTCAAGAACCTGCTCTTTGTGGTTACAATAGTCCTCACTGTTACCAAAAGAGCCACTGAAAACAGCAACAAGTGCCATATGAGAAAAGTACTTTTTAAATGAATACCATTTGCTCAAGTGTCTTGAAAAGATTAAAAGGAATCTCAGTGACGTAAGTTTATTTTTGTATTTTCGGCCAAATCATATTTATTTGTCTTTGTGTGAGTGGTACACCTTTTGAGGACAGTGGAACTGGGTACACGTAATGCTAGCACGGGCTGCCCCCTTACATTTGGACACAAGGCAAACTCTGAATCAAAGCTGGTTTTGTGGGAAAGGAAATATTGGGTTAAACTATACATATGACCAAAGCACTATATACTCCAAAAAAGGGTCAGCGTGTCCTGAATGGACTCCTGGATGCAAATATCGTGGTGCAAACTTATCTCTGTTCAGGAGGAAGATGAAGTTGATCTATTACATATAATCCACATAATCCACACAGTACCAGTTCTCTCAGTTGACTGCGACTGACCCTGTTGTGGTGGGACAGTGCCCTTGTAGTACCTGATCTCTGCTGCTCCTCGTGCAGGGTGGCCTGAAGGCCGTGGTGTGGACAGACGTTATCCAGGTCGGCATCATGGTCGCTGGATTTGCATCGGTGATTATACGAGCTGTGGTGATTCAAGAGGGCATCGGAAACATTGTGAATGACTCCTACCATGGGGGAAGATTGAACTTCTGGAAGTGAGTCTGTGCTCGCAAAGAACATGCCTTTCTATTCCCTGCGTGGCTATCTGCAAGGGTACTGAACCAAATGATTGGAAAAATAATAGTTTTGGGCTAATATGAAAATAGTAAATATTTTTCTTTTCCTTAAAAGAAAAAGCTGATAGGAAATTTTTGCAATGAGCCAAGTGAAACATTTCACTCATTTGGAGATGGAAGCATTTAATTTTAACAACATTTTAACTTATATTATTGTAACTATTAATAGACTAAAAATGTGCTTTGCAAGGCCAGTAATATTCATTTCTGATAGTGTCACAGAACACTTCAAGTTAAAAAAATGTTTATTGTTCTTCCGGATAAATAGGTGAGTCTTGAGAAACGTCACCTAGGACTATTCCTAACAAAAGCTTAGTTTGACAAAAGTTACCTTTTGTCCTTCTGTCTATTCAGATAGTTCATGATATTCATAAGGTCATTCTCCAGAGCTCTTCAACAAATTCTTCAGTAAATAATTCATCTGTGGATATTTTCTTCTTTTGGTGAATGGTGACTTTTCACTCTGTTTGTCTGACTTGCACTGGTTACTCACCATTGCTCCTTCCCTTTATTTTAGGGTTCAAAAACAGGAAAACAGGAAGAATAAAGGCATGAAGTAGATGAATTAGCAGTAGGACATTGTTCACCAAGATAAACACCCTTCAGTGCAATACTAAAATGTGATTTAAAACACATTTTTGTTTATTTCTGGCTATTTAATGCCTTTTCCTCACAACACCTCATGCGTAGAGCTAGATCAGAAAAATATCCACAGAGGGTACACACACAGACATACCTTTGTAGTGGTATCTGACCAATGTCCCTGGAGATAAGGAGACATATTACACTTTTATTGAAGCATCATTTCATCACAGCAGCCACAGTCACTGTAAGCAGTCAGCTTTAATTATGACCATCGTTTATATGCAAATAAGTTTGTCAGTATAAACATTGGAATTTTTTGCTTTATCAGGATTTCATCTCTGAATTAAAAATTTGCTCTCTGAGATTTCATATAAAGTATCTAAAAGTTCAAAAACTGGACAAATTAGAGGGTTTATATTAGAACAGATATGAGGATATTTCTTCTAGCCAGTAAGATCTTATGATATTGACAAAATTGTCATATTCTGAGTTTGTTTCTTTCCTTCTCTTTGCAGCTTTAATCCCAGCCCTTTGCAGAGGCACACCTTCTGGACGATTGTTATAGGTGGGACCTTCACATGGATGGGCATATATGGGGTCAACCAATCTCAAGTACAGAGATACATCTCATGTAAAACCAGGTTTCAAGCAAAACTGTAAGTCTGCTTACAGTAACTGTTTAATGTCTAAATATAGCAGTAATTGTTCTTTATAAGGGATTTTTTTTTCCTACCTGTAAAAATCCTATAAAACCTACTCGTAAAAAGTAACAAGTTTCTTTCTGCTTTGTGAATCAGGTTAGTGCTATAAATATAAATAGATTTGAATTACATATAATTGACTTTTACATTCAGCTGAGTGCCAAACTGTTTCACCGTGCCATTATTCTTGCATACCAATGCCTGCATTAAATTTATATGCAACCTAAAGGCCTAATGGTATAGTACTTACTTGTGCTGAAGCTATATCAAGACATCATCTTTAATTGTTACTCTGTTAAACCTAAATCAGTGTCAGGGAATTTTACCTGAGTAAAGACAAGAAGATTTTTGCATACAGAGGTGTACAAGAATAAGAAAATACAGGAATATTTTATCCAATGATAAAATTTCCAAGGAATCATATATTTTGTGTTTGTACTAGCCATGATGTATTCTTTAGGAGTTCCTTGTGGAACCTAAGAGCTCTGTTTTCCTTGAGTTTAATATTTTTTGATCAGTCTTTACTGTAGACCAGAGTATGTTTATTAATTTTATTATCTTTATGATTAGTGTCCCCCTAGTAGTCCAGAACTTAGAGTTTAAGGCACATTGCCAATCATGTAAACTCTTTCTATTTATATAGAAAGATATAGGAGAAGTATACAAAAGGGCATTGTAACTATAGTCACTATAAATTCCATAATACAGTGACACGCAGTAGAGAATGAGTTTTATGACGACTTTCACTTTAAAAAGTGAGCAACATACCCATAAAATCATGTACAATTGAAGTTACAGTGGTAATGAAAATCTGCCTTACAGTCATTCACACTGCAGACAGGAAGGAGCTGCTGCTCGGCGTGGGTCGCACAGGCCAGGGGTGCAGACACGGTGCCCAAATTGTGCCCCTGACACTCTGCTTCCCAAGTGCTTGCTCTGCTTCTGGCCACGTTCCTCTCTCACACCCTTGCTGTAGCGAGGGACATCTCAGGGGTGTCCCAGAAGCAGAGTGTGGCCAAGGGGAACCTGGCACCACAGCAGCTTCTGGGCAAATTTTTGGAGCTGTTGCACAGGTTTGACCAGGGCAGGAGGGTACCTGATTTTGGAGGGACTTAGGTGAGTTTTATAGTTCATAACAAATTTATAGCAACACTGCCTTTATGAGCAGAGTCCTTTCCTGCTTGGAGGGGCCAGTTGGATTCTCTGGCATCTCACTTGTACTGACTGGTGTTTCCCCTGGTTCTCTTGTCACAATTATAGGCAGTTGCATTCCGTGGCAACTATCTATTTATAAATGAGCTAGATAAATGTTTATTTATAAACACCTCTAGCAAGTCATATCGATGTCCTACATCTCTTAATGCCTTTTAACCTGCACACAGAAATGAAAAATGTTGTCAGGTCAAAAGAATAGTTTTGCACTACCATTGCATTTCCTGAAAGGTTTTAGAAGAGACAGCACAAAAATAAAACAGAGCTGAGAAACTAATTCTTCCACAGACCCCAACTTGTGGTTTCTGTGAAGGCCTTAAAGAATGACACAAGAACAGAAATTCTGCCAGGCTTTGGGAATGGATTTCATCCCATTTAAGAAACATACCAGTAGGTATGGACACATGCTGCTCCATGTAGGCAAATCGAGCATAAAGCTGATTTATGAGTGATAACAGACACTTAGAGCAGAAAAGGACTTTCAGAAAAATGAGGCCTACTAACACATTTTTCGTTACTTTCCTTTCAAGCCCATATTTGGCATGTTTCAGTGTTGAAATCCTAGAGGCAGACTGGAACAACTAACCAAAAATAAGCTTTGCACTGTTACACTACCTACTTCACCCAAATTCCACCCCACGCTACTTACCTACAATTAATGGGAACACCTCCCTCTAGTAGTGCTATAGTTGTTATAGTCCAGTGCCTAGTCACAGGATATACCTTGTGCCAGGAGATAAAAGCCAGTCAGAAGAAAAAAGGAAAAAACAGAATTTTCTTTTCAGTTTTAATCACTGACACAGTTTTAAAACAAGATTTGCAAGATCCAAACAAACAATTCCTTTTGATTTCCTCTATTTCTCTGCCTTTTGTTATTTGACTTTCTAATCTTTGCTATAGGCTATAGGCTAATACTGCTGTTACTTCTATTCTAAGGATTTGGATTGATTTAATTTATTGGGTAAATTTTGTGTTACATAGCTTCTGAGTGCGTTGAATAAAAGTAGATTAAACCAACACAGGAACACTTTCAGCTAAATTGATGCAAGACACCCAACCAATATGTGAGTGTCTACATGGAAAGTACTTCACTTTTGCTTCATGAGTGATATAGCTAGCTCAGCTAGTTAATCCTTCCTAACCATACATTTCAATGCTGAACAAGGCCTATAAGGTTAGTTTTCTGCATCCACTCTGATCCTGTAGAGCCCTTAAAAGATGACCCATGCTTTGATCTGGGACACTGCACCTTGCAAATCTGACTGGGATGTGTCTTTACCAAAGGGTGCAATGAGAAGGAGTTTTTCTTGACAGCTACCTGTAATCTGAAACTCGTGCACCTGGTGAAATGTGAGAATAACCATATTTCTCCTATCATTTATTGATGAGATTTTGTCAGAGGATGGACACTCAGACCATACTATCAAGAAAGCATCTAATTCTTATATTTTAAAATGTCGGTGACATGTCTGGTGGCTTGTCTGAGGCCATATCATGACTCCCTTTCAGGTGGGCAGTCACCATCTGGGACATTTCCTCAGTGGTATGTGACTGCTGGTGTCATCTAATCACTTGGCTCTACAAGAAGCTCACACCTAGAAGAGGTCTGGTCCATTGACCTCAGCATAGCAGGATATCTAGGTCCTACCAACTTCAGCAGCTGCTGAGCAACTACACATGCCTCTGTGGAGCTGGGCTTGTGCTCCATATGGCTCTTGTTTCTCTGCAGTTCTTTGCTGCCCATGCCTAGCACTGAACATTGTTTGCTGTTTAAGCTGAGGTAATCCTGGCACAACACACTGGCCCAGCCAGCTGCTCCTTCATTCCTGGCTGGTCAGGAACCAAGCAGAGGCGTAGCCTGCCGTGTCCACATGTGCTAGGTTCTAGTGAGGCACCAACGGGTCAGGTTTTCAGGAGGGTGAAATTCTTCAGCCTTGACTTTCTTTAACCATGGCCCTTGCTCGTGCGCTCATGCAGGTCTCTCTATATCAACTTGGTGGGCCTCTGGGTGATCCTGACGTGCGCGGTGCTGTGCGGACTGGTGCTGTACTCCATCTACAAGGACTGTGACCCATGGACCTCTAAGAAAATCTCAGCACCAGATCAGGTAAAGCTCTCATGTTTCAGCAGGGGGACAGGCAGGGGGTGCTGCCATGGGGCTTGGTGTGCAGAGAAGATGAGGGCAACCCTTTGCATGGGAGGAGAGCCTAGATGAAGCTGCTAACCATGGTCAAGAGCATGTTAGGAGATTTGACCATCATCTACCTGCAGGGAAGGAACATGGTAAATCCACAGTAAATATTTCAGAGATATATAAGCAAAAGGGAGTGGTGGGGGTGGTGGACAAAGCCAAAAATACATAAAAATGTATTTTTATACAAAAGAAGCTCCCAGAAAAATCAAACTGTCCTTTTGTTGTAGGGGCAGTTTGTTCCTCAGCGTTACCTCTGCCTGTTTAAAACCTGGATCCTAATAGTGCTTACTATATCTCAAGTGGATGATTTAGGCATCTTTTTTATGGAGAAAATGAGTTAACTAATGCAAAATGGGACACTGAAAATTAGAAGAGCTGGTTAGGATGGCAGGAATAAGGCTGTAACAAAAGCAATACAGTGCAAAAAGAAAAACAGTAATATTTCTTATTCTCTGAACTTTTCAGCTAATGCCCTACCTAGTGCTGGATATTTTCGATGGTTAATGCCAGGGCTTGTCGTGGCTAGTGCCTACAGTGGGACATTAAGGTAATTTAATAATTTAGAGTCATAGTGTATGTTAGTTCTTTTTATCATATTTGTTAGGCTAATGTTGCATTTATATGAAAACTTTTGCATTTCAAAAAAACATTATGAACTGTTTGACATTGCAGCTTAAAAATTTTAAGGTTTCATCAAGAGCATTCTGAAGTCTTAAAACTCAAATGTGTCTGGAGTTCCCTAAGAACTTCAGCCACACACAACACAGCACTACCAACATAGCTGTACTTTAAAGCCCTCTGCTATAGGTAGTTGTAAGTTTTATAAGCAGGTGGCTGTGCAAAATAGCTGCAGTTTTTGGAATTTTCTACTGCTCATATTTATCTTTCCAGTTTCAAACCTACATAATTTTAAACACACTTCCCTTTTCCTTGTTCCTGATCTTTACAGTCTTGTTTACAAAAGAGTTCCTAGACTTCCAATTATCTTGAGCGAGCCCTGTGAGACCAATGGTCACTATATATATTTCAGCGGAGAAGACAAATAAAATTTCCTTCTATCTCTTAATGTGGAGTGTTCTGTTTAGCTTTCCCAAGGTGCATTTTCTGGGAAACTCCATCTCTGCCAGGAAAGCCTTTTGAATAACAGCAAGCAGACAAAATTGTTAAACCTTGAGAATATAACAGCAGAATAATTTTTGGCTCTGAATACTTGCAGTTATGCAGAGAGAGAACAGGCATGGTAGTTTGTTCTCACTCTTTGAGGGAAATGCTGATGACTTGTGAGAATAGGGTGCAAGTAGTTACAAATTGCCTGACTGGCTTTGCACCTTAGAGGTGATCTTTCTCTGACTGCAAAGGCATCCTAGAGCAGTTTGCTTTGGACAACATGCCTTATTTGCCTTATTTTTAGAGGACTATAATTATCTTATCTGAGTCTTTTTTCTAGGAATGCATTCATTGACCTGCATGTATGAATTTTACTTAGCTACATATATACTATGTAGATTTATAATGATATTACATAAAACAGTTTTTATATGCTATATGTAAAAGATCTTTTCATTGATTTCTCCAGGCTAATCTTTTCATCAAGACCTGCCTTGTCTTCACTAAGATCAATTATTTTAAACAATTTTTGTAAACTATTAACTGTTCCCAGTGATAGCAATAGTTATTCCAAACACCACAGCTGTTACATTGGCTCTCTGATAGTGTTTCAGCAGTAGCAGGTTCTCCCTGCCTTTAACCATTCTGTTATTTATGATTTCAGGCCTCTCACCACACACACCAAAAAAAATGTGTATAAATCTTGTCTTGTCTTATCTTCTGCAGTACTGTGTCCTCCAGCATTAATGCTCTGGCTGCTGTGACCGTCGAAGACTTCATCAGACCACACTTTAGATCTCTCTCTGAAAAGAAACTGTCCTGGCTTTCCATGGGGATGAGTATGTCTGGAAAATATCTTTTCCACTTTTACTTTTCAAAATGAGATCTTGATTCAGATCTTATTTATGACGGCATGAGTCAGGAGTAAGTCCATTCAAACCAGTACAATTTTATTAGCACAATACAGAAGGAGACCAGAAGAGGCAGGTAAGCTTTATACAGAACAGGGAAAATGGATGATTCAAGTGAAGAGAAGAAAAGAAAAAAGCTATCTGGTTTGGTCTTTAAGCAGTAAAGATGCACTGCATTTGCATTCAATATGGACTCCTCATACTATAGAACTAAATGTCTCTGAAATAGATGCTGTTTTTCTTGCATCTGCCAAAAAGCAGAAGGGCAGAAAACAACTTTTTGAGAAACCTTTTGAAAAGGGTGTGATGCAAGAGCAGCAGCATCCTGCCCAGTCTCTTCAAGTCTTTCATGTCTTCATCCTCAACTCCTCGGTCTATTTGGATCCTCTGTTTGGCACAGCTCAAAGCGGAGGGGGAGAGCAAGGCTGAGCAGATGGTTTATGTCTCTGGAGTGCAGTGACTGTCTCCTCTGCCTGTTCTGTCTGGCACCAGCAGCAGGTGTGGTGCAGGGCAGCGTATGCAGTAAGAGTAAAGAACCACAGTTCAAAAGCCCAGGCCACCGAGCACAGCACGCCGGTGACAGGTGACAAGCATTGGCATCATCACCCAAGAACATTGCTTCTTAAATATTATTACAGCTAATGTTTTGGCCAAATTCGTTGGTGCTCTGATCTTATCATGAGCTGCCTGATGTCTCACATTTAATGCTAGGATTAATTCACTGCTTCTATCCTTAAGCAGTGGAATTCAATAGGGGTGGAAGTGGAGAAAACAAATGAGTCAGTGTTGTGGGTCCTGGGAAGAAGGGACATTTGCTGTTCAGGACATCTACCTCGCCGTGACCTGCGACATTCCTTGTCACAGGGCCAGCTCCCAGTATTCTTTCAGCATTTACTTTCTTGCTCCTAAGCTTTAGACTGAGAAGCAAAATCCTTCCTCCAAAATAAGGGCCATCACACAGATTAGCCAAGCAGTGTAAGCCGTGTATGTGGTATTGCCAAAATGGCTAATCCGTGCTGCTATTTGGGGTTAAATATTTCAATTTATCTTCACTGATATACAGTGAAGAAGATGGCTAAGTTTGTGTTAGCTCCTTCTAACATAAACATGAACCCGGCATTTTTGCTGATTCAGGAAAGCTTAGAGACAGTCCAGATTATGACAGACTTTATTTGGAGATGTCAGCAGTCACACTGGGTTAGAGGGCAGCATTCTTCAAGCTTCAGCAGATTCACACATCGCTCTACCTTTCCCACACAGGTCTCTTTTATGGCATAGTGTGCATTGCTATGGCCGCGCTGGCGTCTGTCATGGGAGCCTTGCTGCAGGTGGGTGTCAAACTGCTTTTTCATGGCCTTGTGAAAAACAACCCAGAGGAGTTGTTTAAGAAAATAATGTCTAGATATCATTATGAAGTTAGTTTTTACTCTTTGTTGAGTATTGGCCTCAGACAGCCCCTGGCCCAGCCTCAGCTCTAAACATGCCTGTAACTATACCTAGTCCTGCCACCTGAGAACATGACAGTTACAAATTTGCAGTGTCTTTTACCCCATCTCCCCTTCACCCCATGATGGAAGATTTAACTTTCCTGAACAGCATCCAGTAGCAAATTCTCTTCTTTCCTCAGGCAGCACTAAGCATTTTTGGCATGATTGGTGGTCCCCTTTTAGGACTATTTACTTTGGGAATCCTCTTCTCCTTTGCAAATGAAGTGGTAAGTATAAGTTAAGTCACGTTGGCTCAAAATTCACTGATTGTTTTGGACATCTCCATTTTCTCTCTCCATCATTTTGTGTTGGGCATCAAGGGAGAACTCTCCCTTGAGAGAAAGGGAGACATTTTCCATGTATCTCTTTGCCTTTTCTCAGCTTCCTACTTAACCCCATGAAGTGACAAAACAGAGATAAAGCAGAGAGAAATCAGCCCCACGGCAACCCCAGAGGCGTCTGAGCAAAAGCAGGAAATGAGGTGCCCAAATACTTGCCCCATGCAGGCTGCCAAGTGAACCAGCAAGTTCAAACACCAGCTACCAATCCCTTGGGTGGGATGGAAAATCCAGCAGATCTAAGGGCTTGGAGAGGCAGGCAGTCTTCAAAACCTATGTGGAAGTCAGAAGTGATAAAAAGACCTCTTTAAAATACAGATTGAGTTGCTGTCTTCTGGTGGAATTCTTCAGTGTTATAAAAATCAGCTGTGAAGAAAATCTATTTCATGTAAAGTTTATTTGGCCAGTTCTGGAAATACAGCCCATGGGCTAGCCCAAGAAAATTATTAGTTATTAATTAAGGCTCTCTGATCACTCACTCTTACCTTTCTAAAAGTTGAAAATTTTATATATATATCCTGAAACCATTTTTGCCAACCATCATCCACAAGAAATTGACCCCAAAGCAGAAGAATTTTTTGCAAGAGCAGATCACACCAGTAAAAGGAAAAGTTGCTTTATCTTCGTTCAAGGAGGATCTGAAATAAAATAACTTTTTCTATATATGAAGCATCCCAAAGCTATTGTTTGATCATAGAGGTATAATGGCAAAGCAAAGAGGGCTTTCAGTTCTTTCATGTACTTTTGCTTTTCCATTAAATCCAGTTTTCATTTTCTGTTTTGCAGGGTGCATTTGTGGGTCTCATCAGTGGCTTTATAATTACACTTTGGGTTGGAATTGGAGCTCAGACTTACCCTCCTCTCCCAACAAGGACTAATCCATTAACTCTCTCAACTGCAATGTGTAACATATCCAACTTCAGTGCTCTCACTTCACCAACAGGAACTCCATTAACAACACTCCTCCACACAACAACCAAACACACAAGGTAATCTGTAATCCATAGTCTGTAATCAACACTGTACATATTTGTTTTAAAAACACCATGAACATATGTCTAGCATTTGGGTTAATGTAACTATGCCTGCGGCTTTACCTACCTGATTAATTAGGAAGTAACAATTATTATTATTATTATTTTGTGTAAGAGTGAAGTCTACCTGTGTTATCCTGGAACAGAAGTTAAGGTGAATCTTCCTATTGACCTTAAAGGCTTTTGTTCTGTATTAGAGTCTAAAGGCTTGAATAAGCTTTACTGGGAGCCATGGCTTTGGAGAAGGAATAAAATTTATGATTATTACATTAAATTCCATAAAATCTTTTACTGTATGATCAAAGTTGTAGATGATTAAAGGGAAATTTGCCAGCTTAACAGCTCTGCCTACAACAGCTTGTCTGTGCAGATACAGCTCTAACCAGCAAGGCCACCAGAGTGTGTAATGGGTATAATGGACAAAATCGAAGGATTTTTCTCCCCTCTGCAATAGACAGAAATCTTACTTTTGACGCTCACAGCTGTAATAGATACAAATAATAACAGAGAACAGTAGGAACAGGAGCTAAACAAAATTTTCCAGGAATTCACAATCCTCCCACCTTAAGAGCCCTGTGCAGTGCACAGCAGACACCGGTGCACATGCGTGTGCTGCTTCAGTTTCTGCAGCAACGAGCCCCACGCAAGAGATCCAGCCTTGCTCGTGCCTAGCGGAAAACACCACTGCAACGGAAAGGGCTGACTGGGAGAACAGAATCTGAAGCAACCAGCAGTGAGAGAGTTGCCAATTTGGGGGGCCTTTTTAGAGTGGGATGAGGCTAATCTGCTAGCGTTTTATGCCTTTAAGTGACATGCTCTTCCTAAAGATGCTATCCCCTCCTAAAGATAGCTGGAGTGCTCAGCTTTGCACCAGATTCCTAGCAGGGACAAGAACATCCTGTTTTGCCTGCTTTTTTTTCATTGCATCACTGTACAGACTGGTGACCTCCCTTACCAAGGGGCTTGCCTTGCAAATTTTAAAATCAGATTTTGAATGCACATTTTGTTACACAGAGGAAATTCAACAGAACTAGATCACTTGTTAGTTCCATAAGTACCTCTGCATTTATAATCAATCTAGAAACACAGATAACATTTGTCCAGAATACAAAATCAGAGACGAAAGACTCTTTCTGCTCTTTTTTTTCAGACCTGCCATAGCAGACAACTGGTATTCTGTGTCTTACCTCTACCTCAGCACACTTGGGACTCTCTTCACAGTAGCTGTGGGAGTACTGGTCAGCCTCCTCACAGGTACCAGTCCCAGGAATACCACTGAATGCAAGTCTTAGTTCTCCAGCTAGCATCATCAAGCAGAGAGCTGGCATTGCTACAGTGTCAGGGACCCTGTTGTAAGACTATAAAGTTTCCTATCCTCACTCGTTGCCTTCCCTTAGTCCCTCTATGTCCAACACTCTGTCCACAGCAAAAGATACTTCAGATTTATAAGGTCACAGAAGTTTCAGAAGTTAACATGAGAGGCAGTAAGATATGAATCCGTTTTTCTTGTTTTATTAAATGCCAGCAGGTGCTGAGGTTTAAGGGTTGTCCCTGAGCACGGCAACCACACCAAGCAAGGAGATATACCTATGCTTCTTCAACAGGACAAAAACAGTTTTACTTTGAGTGAGTTCAGAGCACTCAGGGATCGTTGTTTGACTATAATGTTTTGCCACTACGTTCACAAAGCATGTTCTTAGGAGCTGCATATCTGTGCATGGCTACATTGCTTCTTCCTCAGTAATCCCTGTACTACTGGTATAGGGGTAAAAGAAACACGAGAGACTGAGGACTCCATTTTATCCTGTGGGACCTCTGCTTTAGCATCTTGCTACCTCGCAAAGCAAGCCCACTTTGCCTACAGCAGAAATCGCATAAAAGCAGCTGCTCTCCAGCTTTACCACTGTGCCCAGCCGCTTTCCTGCAAGGTCACTCACACTTCGGTGTTGCTGGATTTCAGACCTAGTAGGCTAATATAGAATTGCTTTAGAGCTGAACTCTCTTTTTATTCTACTTCAGGGCTACGACATAGTAGACAGACTGGGTTCCATTAGCTTCCATGTACCTTGCAACCAGCAAGACATGTTTTTACCAGTTTCTTCTCCTTGTCAGCTGCTCCAGAACTTGCTCCTGTTTCTTTCC